GGGGTATTCATCAAGTCAGGTAAAATGTGACGAAAATCGGTATGGATTTTTATGATCTGCTGAAGTTTCGGCTTCTCATGCAGTGAAAAAGGCATGATATGTCGCAAATGTTTGGAAAATAGGGAGTATTATTCAGGAAAAGTTTCTACATGATGCATTTCCTTAAATTAATATACTTCGGCTGAGCGCCGATTATGAACAGTAACCATTTTTAAGAGCTGCTGAAGTTTAAGCTTCCAGTTTAGTGAAAAAAGAATGCTATACATTTTATGTTAAGAAAAGTCGCTGAAGTTCGTATGAATAGAAGAAAAGTCTCTACTAGTCATAGTTTGTTTAAAATCAAGCAAAGTATCTACTTGCCGCATTTCCCTGGATTCTTATTATTGTATTATTAAAGACAGGTACTAAGTTATCTTCATCTTTATGAGCTGCAGAATTAAAGGGATTCCAATGTAGTGCAAATATAATGCTATCCATTTTCAAACTGGAAAAAAGTATAGTAAGCAGTTTTTACTGGAATTCGTTGGATTACCATGATATGATTATAATAATAATAATAAATAATCTTATAAGTTAAAGCTACCCTTTGAACCGTTTTAATGAGCAGCTGAGGCTTAGGCTTCCAAAGAAGTGCAAGCAGAATGCAATTACAGATATATTGTAGTTGAAATTACATATAATATATAATATATATCATATAATACAATATAATAATAAATCACGAAACTTTTCTTGAGAAAAGTCCAAGCTGCTTAATAGGCCTATGCTACTTTATCTCTGTATACAGGGCATCGGCATGTCGATCAGCCGCGCCTAGATCATTCTAAGTTTTGTTTTTTTTTCATCTACATTGCTTTGGATAGAACAGTCAAATCTTAATCACTGTCAAGTTCAAACGCCCTGGGCTCATGAATATCAATGACATTGCTGCGGGGCGGACGCTGCCCGTTGCCCGCTGCGATTTGCCCATTGCCCACCGAACTGTGACCTCTGGCCCCGCGGCACCCATTGGGCAGTTGAAGCTTTTGGCCAGTCGCTGATGCGTTTAATTTTTTAAACCTCTTTGCGCTTGTCAAAAGTTGAAAAAGTTGAAAATGGCCAAGTGTTAAATGACTTTTTGTGCATTTTACTTTTGTTGTTGCATTTCATTGGCTTTCATTGGCCATCGAAAATTTATTTAAAACCGCGCACAAAATACTGGTAAAAGTCGTATGCGCATATTTAACCGATAATTAATTTTTAATGACATGCCATTTTATACATTTATGACCAATTTTATGGGTCTTGCATAAAGTTAAATGCGTGTGGATTTATTTTTCAGCCGATTCCCGAAAATCCACCCAGTCAAGTGGCTAAAATCTCTCAAATCGCTCAATCAAACGCAGTCGAACCATTAAATGGGTCAGAGCTAAACAATTCCAGATTCAATGACAAAAATTATGGCTAGAGTATGACCTACAACTTAACATCGAAATCGACTACAACTTAATGATTTATGTAGGTAACCAGCTGCCATTTAATTAAATTAATTACAGATTTATGCTCGCAACAGGAGCATGGCTTAACACGCAACTAATTCCTTCCAAACTCACGAATTTAGCTTCATACATAAATATATTTTTGTATGTAAATAAAATTTTTTGGCATTTTTTTTCACAAAAAATATCATGTTCCCTTGCTTAACAATTATATGAAATATATGAAAATTTATTTAAATTTCCCACATGTGAAAAGTAGATATTTAAAATTTGAAGCGAAAAGCCAGTATAAAGCTTTCAATATATTCAATAGTTAGTTTATGAAAAATTAGTCCATCACTAAGTACTTGGTAATAATTAATGCTCGAATTAGAGAGGAGTAGGGTGCAGCAGGGGATTGAAGATTAACCCAAATTATTTTAAAGCTTTCGACTTCGAAAAAAATACTGTCCATATTATGTAATGACTATGTCTCTCATATAACTAACATAAGCATTACACTAAGACCATTTTATAAAAGCAAGAGAGCGAGAGAGAGGAAGTAAGGGAGAGAGAGCGAGAGAGGGCGAGTGCTTAGTGAGTTCCAGTTCATATAGTTGTAGTTATTATGGCACATTTCTAGCGCGTACTTGGCTTGTACTTTGGCTTAATGCATTCATTCGACTGGCCGCATGCACTCAACTTGCATTTAAGTGCAAAAGTTTCTAATTATGTTGCCAAAGGCCAAAACCGGGCAATCCAGTCGGCAACGAGACTTGGGGGACTTGAGTGTGTGTGTGTGTGTGTGTTTGCGTGTGTGTGAGTGTGTGCTGAAAATTAATAGACTGTGAATATGTTAATGATGCAAGTTGCATTGCTTTGAGCGGCACTTTAAGCAAAATATGCACTGAAACTTGGGTAAACTATAAAAAAGTAGGGAGAAGAAGAAGGCAACTCAAATATATATGGGGCAGCCATCCAGGCTGACCCGCTTATAAATATATCATAATAATGAGCAATTAAATTGTTAAATGCATATCAAATGGCCATACCCTTTGACCCGGCCGGAGTCCCAAATTGTTGACCTTGGCCAGTTATTTATGGTGCGTATTTATTTGCCTAGTGCTAATTTAAATTTATTACGCACCGCCAGTTGGCTGGCCTGGGTCTGGCTATAAATTTTGAAGAGCTAAGCCGCCGCCCAGGCCGCAATCATTAATTATAATTCATTGGAGCCTTGAGCCTGAAGCCTTCAGAGCCCCTACTCCCGGGCGGGCCACCCCTTTTTCAGCACTTGCTATGCAGTACTCAGTTTTCAGTTTTCCGTTTCGAGTTTTCCTGGCTTTTTTTTTTTTTTTGTCGGTTCTATTGCATGTTGATGAAATGCGTAGCAAGGCGGCCGCCGGACCTGGACAACAGTAAATCGATTATGTCCGGTCACCACAAGAGTCCATACAAATGGCCGCAACAAACGCGCTATTCAAATTTGCTGCATGTGCCACACCTCCCTAGCCATTGCGCCCGCCCCTGGCCAGTGCTGACAAACTGCACAAATGCTGCAGTTCGTTTAACGAAGTTGTCCTGTGTCATCCTGGCTTGTCCTGGCGCTGACAATGATGTAACTGCCGCTGCTGCTGCCGCCGCTGCGGTTAGCAGCTGCAACTTTTCATGGCAAGCAGCGCACCGAAAAATTACACATGTAAATTGCATGTGCAAACCGCAAACGAGTTGTGCGTTTTGTGAGCGCAAATAAGGTGTCAATAAGTTGTGCACAACACACACACACACATGCAGACAGGCCGCATACATGCGCACATGCAACAATGGCATGCAACATCATATGCAACATTGTGACCTGAGCATTCGCCTGCCGGCATCTAATTTGCAAGTGTCAGATGTCAATACACACACACAAACACACACGTCTGCATTAAATGCCTTCAACACATTGCGCAATTATGGCAAACAGGACGAGGACAAGGACAACCGGCAACCGGCAACACCCACATGTCAAGCTGTATGCTGCAACTTGGCACTGACTTTGTCCGCATATTAACGTTTATTTTGAGGGTACGCAGCTCCAACTGACCACCAAATGCGGCAGAGGAGTAGGGGGGGGGGGGGGGGGCAGACTGGTGCCAAACTTTAATTACAATGCCTGAGCGTACGCCCCAAAAGTTGCTGTGCGCCTCGTTTAAATCTATTATTTGGCAACAGTTAAGCGTCGCTGGTTGGGTGGCCGATGGGTTGGCTATTAAAAATTAATTTGACACGTTGCGCTTGCATGTCAAAGTATGCGAGTAGGTGGGATTGGGAGTGGGAGAGCCGGTCAAAACTTTTGCCCAGCGCTTAGCTTGCATAATAATTAATGAATGTGAGGGCTCAACAAAAAAAAATATATATAAATGCAATGGCCGCCCGTAATTAACGCGTTTCGTGTGGCCCCAAATGATGGGTTGCGGTTACGGGCCTGGGGGTACCTGGCATTCACATTATATTTAATAGCGCTGTGCGTGTTGATGTTATACCCTGTATAAAACAGTACAAAAAAGAGAGTAGCTTAAAGAAGAGTAGCTGCACATAAAATGCATATATATATATATACTTGATCCGCATCAGCAGCAGGGCCGAAATTGTCTCTATGAATGAGTCGATCTTTAAGCTCTAAGATCTCAAAATTGAAACGTATTTCCTACGCTGATGAAGTTTAATTTAAATCATCGAAAACACCCCCCCCCCCCCCCCCCCCCAATAAAAAATCGATTCTCCGAATTTAGATAATATATCGAAGCTTGCAAAAAGCACAGACAGCATTTTAGGCATGGAAATTATCTTGAATTATTGACAACTACCTTTAATTGTATGAAATCGATATATATCGATTATCACATTAGGTTGGTCAATAATCAACCTCTAGGATTCCAGCTCTCGCACGCCACAACATTGATTAAAAGCCAGTTTTGAAGATATTGACTAGATGCTGCTTATCTTAAACTATCGACAACATAATCTGTAGTTACAAAATCGATAAGAATCGCTGCTCCGATTACATATATTAGCTCTGACCTCAAAAGAGTAACATGCGGATCCAGAATATTCAGACTTTGGCTTTGCTATTCATACACATTGCAGGCCGTAATTATAATCTGCTTGTGTGTATTTTTGTGTATATACATATATAGCAACAAGTTTAGGGTATTTGCTAGTCGGACACTACATAAACTTATTGTTGTTATTAACTTGTTGCACAGTTTCATGTAAGCTGGGCATTTTGGAGGTCGCCATCTTGGCCGCTCGGCCGTCAAACATGGCGTATGATTATTTCGGCTCGAGCCGTGTATTTTCGCGCCTTGCTGAGTGCTTTTTGATTGACAAATTGTGGACTCCGTTCGCCTGTCTTAATTATGGAGCACTGTTGCGCAGCAATTAATGACAGCTAATTACATAGATCAAGCTCTCGCTCGCGCCCGCGCTCCAACTCGACTCATACTTGGGCTATAAAGCATCCACTTGCCGCTTGGGGCAGTTACAGTTGCATTTGGCCTTTGGTTTGCTGCTGCTGCGAACGTCATTCAATTTCGTCTGCTAATACCCTTGACTGCACGTACAGTGGCTGGCTGCAGTGCCAGTAAATCCTTGATCCCAGATATCCGGCGTCTCACGTGCGCGCTTCCGCAGCTTACCGCTACTTTGGACTTGACGGCGTTGTCACGTTGCAACTTGACCAGCAGCAGCTGTGCGGCATCATGTTGCTGCGTGCCACTATTAACATTTTCAGCATTTTATTGCTATACTCTCTGATGGGGCGTGGCAGCTGGGCAGCCGAGCTGCGTCGCGATGAAACGGTAAGCAACAGCAGATCGCTGCTGCCAGCGTCTAGATAAGCCAAATCACACGTTAAGATAATGAACAGAAAAGTCACGGGAGCTAAACTTGTGCTTAAGATACAGCCAATACGTGCATTTCTCACTAGCTCTGGCTAAAAGAAGAAGAGATTTAACTGTACCCGATTTGGTACTTTGTTGCAACAAAAATTCGATATATATTTTTCCTACACTCGAATTATTGCATTGATAACTAACCTTCAAAATGATTAATTTGCTTAATATATTGCTTTTTAGTTTTTTATTTTTAAAAAACATTTTCTAATATTTAAAAAAATTTTAATTTAAAGCGATTATCCAAAATTAACCATAGGTCACAATAAACAAAGATTCGTATACTTTTCAATATTCCTTTTGGACAAATTTCCCTTACGAGAAAATTTGGTACTACAAAGTATTGGGAAAACATTATTGCAATCAGAAATACTATTTAGAAAAGATTTTCGCAGATTTTCAAAGACATTCAGTTTACAGAGATTTTGTTAAATTAAAAAACAAAGTCTTTGACGTCTATTTGTATCAGCAGATATATAAGACTAGGATCTTATATAATTACACGATCTATAATTGACGAATCTTTCGTTTGATAAATTTAACTAAAGATAAAATCTCTTTGATATATAGCATACAATGATATTGGGTCAGATATGGAATCGAGTAATGTTTCTATAGGGTATTGGAAAAACTATGTTGTAGAGTACATTTATTATCGAGTGCATTAATTTAACAAGCGATAAATCACATACTTCAGAAAAAGAACTCATATATGTAGGCACTTTGCAGTTCTGAACTCTTTTGAAGTTCAGCAAATAAATATTGAACAGGCAATAAAACAAAGCGAGAAAATAGTTTTGAGAGTTTAAACATTATTTTCGACTGAAGAATGTCTTTGATATTCCGTTAAGAAAATTTGTAACTAGAGAGAAGTCTAGAAAAGTGTGGTATCTCACAGATTGGATTTTAAAGACTTGCATCTACTTAGATTTGGCCATCACTGACATTCGGAGAGAGAAAAACCGTTTTATGCTTTTGATATATCTAATGAACTACAACATTTTGCAGTATCCACCGCCGGAGCTGCTCAAGGAGTTGGCGCCCGTGCATGACAGCTGTGTTGGCAAGACGGGAGTCACAGAAGGTAAGCGCTTGGTAAATAACCACCATAAGCTGGGGCAGCAGACTCCAGTTTGATGGCGGACTAATGCAAACAAGCTGTTGCCATCTGTCACTGTAACTTGCAACTTGTGTCTGCAGCGGCAATTAAGGAGTTCAGCGACGGCGAGGTGCACGAGGACGAGAAGCTCAAATGCTATATGTACTGTGTGTTTGATGAGACGGATGTGCTGCACGAGGATGGTGAGGTGCATTTGGAAAAGCTGCTCGACCGACTGCCCGACTCCATGCACGACATTGCGGTCAACATGGGCAAGAAGTGTCTGTACCCCAAGGGCGATACAAAATGTGAGCGCGCCTTTTGGCTGCACCGCTGCTGGAAGCAGGCGGATCCCAAGGTGAGTGTCATTGCACCTGATTAGCGCACCGGCTTGCGGCTAGGTATTAAGCTAATAAATTACCTCTTTTTGCCAGCATTACTTTCTCATCTGAGCGTTGACGAGGGCCGACGGTCGAGGGGTCGAGAAGCCGAGGGGTCGCGGGCCCAGCAACAGAGACACGGACAAGCTGAACCCGGCCAAGGTTTATGCCGGCTTATGATTTATGTTTATATATTTTATTCTCCTTATTATTCTCTATATATTTCTGTATATATTCCATTTACATTTTAGTCAGCAAATGGCGTTTTGACGAGCATTCCAAAAATATGAGCGAAAAGCTTTGCAAAAAAAAATATGAAAATACAATTACGCATAAAGTTTTTGCCGCAGCTGTTGCTAGTTTGGCGCTGGGTCTGCGAATTGCGAATTGAATTTTATGGGAATATTGTGATAAATTCGCAGCGCCATAATTGTCGTGGCTGATGGATAGCGCACATAAATCCGCTGACTGGCCATGGCCTAAAGCATATTTAATTATTTAATTAGCGCTATCTAAAGAGCGCATCTATAATTTTATGCATCGACAAGCATTAATGACATCGTTATAAAATTAATATGCGGCTGCCGACTCCACTTTCTGCTCGCATAAATAATTATAGCCTGCGTGCCTTTGTTGTTGTTGTTGTTGTTGTTGTTGCATTATTTTTATTGCATTTGCAATTGGCTGTGGGTCAAGCAGCCAACGCACTTCTACGGAATCGAATTAAATGCCATTGGCATAGAATAATTTATGGAACTCCATGGCCAAGCGAACACGATGACATGTGCTCAAAGAAATCGAACTATGCAGTGGAAAATGGCGTGACAAAAATGGGTTTTAAGGGGTATATGAAATGTTCATCAATATGCATGCATATGCATTCTGACTGCAACATGTAAAACAAGTAAGAGGTTCTAGTCGGGAGCTCCCGACTAGGGGATACCCTGAACCGTCTTCTTCCAACATCAAATGCATAGAAGCTATATGTCAAGTTTGGTGACTCTAACTCTTATTATTTACCAAAATTGCCCAAAAAACAGGATATCGATATCGATTTTTATCGATTGCTTGGAAACGGAGTAAGTTATCGATTATCGGAAACAAACTCGATCTGCGCAGGCACTAGGAGCATCTAAATCTAATTTCACGTCTCTAGCTCTTAAAGGTTCTGAGATCCTTGCGTTCATACATACGGACGGACGGACAGACAGACAGACGGACACTTGATCGACTCGGCTGTTGGTGCTGATCAAGAATATATATACTTTATGGGGTCGGAGATGCTTCCTTCTGCCTGTTACATACATTTGGATTTTGCACAAATACAATATACCCTCGTACCCATTTTTAATGGGTTCAGGGTAGGTTTGAACCATCGAATTTCCGCTTGCTAGCTCGACGCTTGGACACGAGGCCAATAAGGAAATATACTTCAAATCAATAACGAGCTTTCTCCACATAGATATATATATATGTATATATTCATATCAATATCAAGAACACAAATTCATTTGACAAAGTTCAAAGCTCAGCGCACATCAATTCATATTTGCATATGAAGAAATCATACGAGCGAATATCTTGATTTAATTGTGAACAATCACATTAGTATTTCATTAGTCTTCGGCGAACAAATTCGAATTGTATTCAAAGGACGCAATAAATAAATCTGGAAGCCCGGCGCACATGCAAATGACCAATGTGCAGCCAACAAGAGGGCGGCGCTACCTGACAATCGGCATTCAATTTATATGCTTCCGGTTTTCCATTTGGCATTTTGTCATTGCATTTGGATCTGTGACGATTGTTGTATTCATTCATTTGCTCATTTCATATGTCAAACCTGGCAATTTGTATACAATTGCAGTTGTCATTGCAACCAAACTAGGAATTCAAATTTGAATACCTACCAAACAAGCAGTTTTGGGTGTAACGGCAATAATATATATTTTATATATATTCTTTTTTACAAATATTGCAATATCGTTTTAATAAAAATTCAGTTTGTGGAATATATGCAAAGTGAAGTTTGAGGTACAGTTGTTGACATGTAACAAGGTAAAACAATAAAATAAAAATTTCGTTCATTTTGATCAATTTTTGTATTTTTATACCCTGCAGCCAATAAATATGGAAAAAGGGCTCTACTGATTTTCTATATGAGTATGTGATGGATAAATGAAAGCGTCTAAGAACATGTAATGCAAGATTTTGATACTCAGTCTGTTTGTCGATCTTGGAAACTAGAAAGCTAGAGAATTGCAGTTTGACATGTTTCACATTTTTTCAATATTATCTTTCATTGTTAAGATGCTAGATACATGAAATGTTTTTCTGAAGGTTCTCGCATAGGATTCACCACAAAATTTTAAATAACACACTCTTGATCGTCGCACCTCGGGCTCTGTATATCACATTTGTGACATACACTTTTGACCTAACAAGTAAGAGGTTCTAGTCGGGAGCTCCCGACTAGGGGCTACCCTGAACCCTCTTCTTCCAACATCGAATGCATATATATTCTATTTTAGAAGCTATATGTCAAGATTGGTGACTCTACCTCTTATTATTTACCAAAATTGCCCAAAAAACAGGATATCGATATGGATTTTTATCGATTGCTTGGAAACGGAGTAAGTTATCGATTATCGGAAACAAACTCGATCTGCACAGGAACTAGAAGCATCTACATCTAATAATTTCAAGTCTCTAGTTCTTATAGGTTCTGAGATCCTTGCGTTTATACATACGGACGGACGGACGGACGGACAGACAGACTGACATGGCTAGATCGACTCGGCTATTGATGCTGATCAAGAATATATATACTTTATGGGGTCGGAGATGCTTCCTTCTGCCTGTTACATACATTTTTGTATTATTTTGTGTAAATATGTCTAAGTACATACACACAGAAAGATGCCAGCTAGTTTGTAACGATTCCTAGGTTTAAGGTAACTCCCAGTCGAGACCTGGACATTTTTTATTTTTAATGGGTACTATAGAAACATATGTTTTAGCTCTGTGTCTTTAAAATATACCATTATTTTAAATCTATATTTAATAAATTAAAAAATGACCAAAATCTAATAAATGAGTTAACTTAACATAGTGCTTAGGGTTTGTTGAAAGTTTAAATATAATTGAATAATTTTATTTATACACTCGATCTCGCCAAGCTGCGTGACGTTTCTTTAATTGCTTTGATTAGTTTTAAGTACTTGTTATTTGTTTACTGTTACGATTAGCTGCGTGTTAGGCTTGCAATCGCCAAATTATAGATTGGGCAATAGAATAATTGAATAATATATACTTGTCTACAGGCTGACCAAATTGGATCGACAAGCGCGCGATTATTTCTGTTTAAAAGTTCTTTAAGTTTTCGAAAACCTTGTGAGCGCAAGAAAAGTCATTAAAAACTGAAAGAACTTTTTACAATTGTGGCTTGAGACAAAAATGTCATTTTGGTCTTAATAGAGAGGCCAAGGGTTTTTTGTTTTGTTTTATTAATTTGCAGCTAGCAATTGTGGACACGCAAATGGGCGTGGCATGGAAACAGTTGCAGTTGCGTGCAACGCGCAAAATATACACACACATTTATAGAGTCAAGTATTTAATAGTGCGGGCGGCAATGACAGGCAACTTAGATAAATATGGACATAGACAAAATCAAATTATAGAAATTGTGCATCAATGACTTTATGCAAAAATCCGTAGCTGAAAATCGATATAAAACAGGCTCGCTAGCAATGGTAATAAAGCAAATTCAATTCTGACTGCGGTTGTCAAACAATTTCTGTGTCGCGTGTGACGGAACAATTTCTTTATTTTCGTTGATAGTTTAAAGGCAACCAGCGGAGGTAAACAATAACAGCAACAACTACAGTAACAACAACAACAACAAAAAAACGCGTCAACGGCAATTCGCATAACGAAAATTGAAATGGCAATTAAAAAACCATCCATCGTTGCTGCCAGGGCCAACTGTGTGGCACACACACACACACACACACACACACACACACACACATACACACATTGGCCCATAACTGTTGCTGTTATTGTAATTTCATTCGTTCTTTATGACGGCTTGTCTGTGTGTGTGTGAGTGTTTGTGTGTGTGTGGGGCAACGTCGTTTTGTGGCTTTGTTTCGGTTGTTGCGTTGACATTTGATGAAACAAAAGTGACAGTTGTGCACAAGTTGACGTCTTTCTATTGTATTTCCTGTTCAAAAAAAAAAAAAAAAACCCAAGCTAGCGAATGGCAAATTTTATACTCGCCTCTATGTTTATATGGCTTGCGACTGTGCCTCTTTGATTAGGAACGGGGCGGGGCGGAGCGGGGCAGCAGCGCACGTGGGCATCTGCTTGTCAAAAATTAACACGACGACGATTGTGCATTGTGCACAAAACGAAAAGAAAGGAACGTTGACAACACAGCCCCCGCTGAAGTCCTGACGTCTCGGCCAGCATTTCCGTTTCCGTTTGGCGAGCTTTTTGTTCAGCTGGCGGTTAGAATTAATTTAGCGTGCGCTGAGCTCAGCTAGCAAGAAACAAATGATTTTCTCTTCTCTTCTCATTTTTATTTCTATGTTGTTGTTGTTGTTGTCGTTGTTGGTTTCACTTCAGTTGTCCCCCTGCTTGCATAGCTTCCTGAAATAAAAATTACAACAAAAAGCGCACTTAGAAAAACCCTCACAAACTCACAACATCAAATAGCTGCACATACACACACACACACACACACACACACACACACACACACACACACACACACACACACACACACACACACACACACACACACACACACACACACACTCACACACACATACACACACACACACACACACACACATACACACACACACACACACACACACACACACACACACACACACACACACACACACACACACACACTCACACACACACACACACTCATACATATACATGTACATATATTGTCATTGTCCAGCTGTCACGCGTGGCACGTCGTCGCTGCCAGCTCTACATCCTTTTCCATCCTGCATTTTGTTCTCACATTTTATACCCTAGCCGAGAGTCTGTCAATTTTGTCGGAAAGTAGGCAACGCATAAGAATTACCAAAAAGTGTTGGAATTTATCTATATCTAACCCTATATAATCTGATTTTGATGTAGATTAATCTGTCGCTATATATGAATAGATAACTCTTGGAAAATTTTACTCAGCGTTTAGATGAAACTTAAGCTAGAAGGTCTTCCTTTTGTTCAGTTCAGTCAATTATCGCTTTTTAAGATCAACATGGAATAGATCTGTCGTAGATATAAGAAAAGCTTTTGTTTTTAAAGATATTCGCCTTTAAAATGAATGGAGATTCTTTCAAGAAAACAGCATTTACATAGGTCTCGTATGTTGTTAAGAAAATAAATTCTTGAGCCTAAAGACATGTTCAGGGTTTAATTCAAAAAAAAAGTTAAAGGAAACAGCATTTGCTCAATATAGAAAAACACTCATCTAAGGACTATAAAGAGGCTTTTATAGCTGGCTAAATATGCTTGTACTAAAAATAATAATTAATAGAGAAACATAAATAATGTGATTAAATACAGACCCTATAGCTAGATCAACTAGCCAGTTATACACTAAATAAACTTACTACAAAGGATATTCAATAGATAGAGATCTGATACGTGAGCTCAGCGTGAAGCTACCTTTACCACTGTCCGCCTGCTTAGGATATTTAAAATTCGTCAGTTCGCAAAATGTGTGCTCTTTAATGTTTTTTGGGCTTTGTTTTTCTGTTGCCCGCTCTGTTTTTGTTGTTATGCATCGTCGCTTTTGTTTCGCCTTTCACAACTCGCAAACAAGGCCGAAACAAACAATTTTTGCTGTTTTACAGTGAAGCTACATGAAAATGGCTTTGAGTGACTTTGGTCGAAATCGGCCACATCGTCCTGTCGCAGCCTGCCTGTTAATCGTCTTGTCGCTGCTCAGCGATGCGCTGATGTCGCCGGCGTTGGCGCAGCGTGACGAGAACGTGAGTTAATAAAGTGCTCGACTCGGCTCGGCTGGACTGGGCTGGGCTGAGGCCACGCCTACTTAAACAATGCATTTTAATTGCAGTATCCACCGACAAACGTACTTAAAATGGCAAAGCTCTTCCACGACATCTGCGTGGAAAAGACCGGCGTCAGCGAGTGTAAGTTAATGCAGTCTGTAGCTTAAAAAAAAATGTACATATATAAGTATAATTGCAACACAACAATTCACAGCTGCGATCAAGGAGTTCAGCGATGGCGAAATACATGATGATGAGAAGCTCAAGTGCTACATGAATTGTTTGTTTCATGAGTTCGAGGTGGTGGATGACAATGGCGATGTGCATCTGGACACGCTATTCTCCTCGGTGCCGCACTCCATACGCGACAATCTGATGGCCATGGCCAAGCATTGTATACATCCCGAGGGCGATACGCTATGCCACAAGGCCTGGTGGTTCCATCAGTGCTGGAAAAAGGCCGATCCCAAGGTGAGCTCTTCAATTGCAACAATCCATTATGTTTTTTGGAACTAATTTTTGTATTTTCTACTCTTAGCACTACTTTTTACCATAAAGCATTTGGCTTAATTAATATTTGGGACTCTGTTTTTAGAACATCTATTAGCTGGTGGCGGTTTTGTCATATTAGAACATGTTTAAATTAGAGCAACACACATTTTGATAAGCTGATAAAACAAGTAAATAATGTTATTCACAGCACTAAATTTCTTGTTTTATTTTGACAATTAGGCTGCAATTCTAATGGGATTTTACCGAGTTATACTAGTGGGAAATGTTGTCTTTTGACCAAAAATAATGTTGCCCGACTTAGATGCCAAATTGATCCTGAGCTCAAACCATTAACCCAAAAGACAAACCTTATGAAAATATGTTGAGGTTTGAGCGAGTTATGGGGGTCGAAAACTTGTACCTATGTACACCCCAGGGTAAACCCCAGCCTTTCCCTTTCCCGTGGCATGCTTGAAATATAATTATCTCAAAGAAACTTGCAAATTAGTTTTAAACCGATCAGATGGTAAGCAAAAATGTTTCATACAAACGTATTTTCGCGATTTTTCCACACGCAGATCTAGAAGATATGTAATATATGGAATCAGAATACATAATATATGCTTCTTGCTGTTTGTTTCAAACATTTCCACACAATTGTAAAGCCCCATTCATCCTATATGTACTTCAAACATAGTTCCTTTCTATTGACGTGCTTTAACTAACTGGAGGCATATAAAAACTTTAATATGTGAAACCTGATGTCATTAGTCGAGCACACTGCAAAAAGTGTCAATGGGGAAAAAGTATTTCATGCGTACATATACTTATTTGCAGCACTGTAATGCCATACAAAAAAAAAAAAAGTGTTTTAAGTGCCATTTGCACAAATGTTGTTGCTGTTGTTCTGTGTGTTGGGCACATAAATCATGTTGGATCTCACATTACGGGAGCACGAACCACAAATTGCCAGGATTGCCGGGAACACACAAAAACAGGCATATATAAATGCATCTGTGAATGATTTTGAAGCCCACTTTGGTGGTGTATCACATAGTAAATACCAGAAATTATTGTGTACAAATGATTGTTTAATGCTTAATTGGCAGACAGTATTTTAATTGACGTGAACGTCAAAACTAACTGATAAATATTATCCAGCAAAAAGCGAAAAAATATATAAAATCAATTAAACTTAATAATTAATTATAAACATGCTTGAAAAAAGTGATTATAAAAATGTTAGAATAAAAGTTTATATACATTTTTATATGTATGAACATTATATGTTTTGAATTGTTTGGCAATATCTCAGAGAAGGAGATATCTCCGACTTCATAAAGTATATATATTCCAGATCACCATAACAGCCGAGTTTATAGGGAATGTCCGTCTATCCGCCTCTTCAGTGTGTTTCTATGCGAACTAACTTCGCAATTTCAAGGCTGAAACTTATTTTTGTTTCTGTACTACCTACGATTGTCAGAGCCGGCCGGATCGAACCCCTCTAACATATCGCTGCCATATGTACAATAGATATTCAAAGATATGACAAATATTATGTTTTGCAAGATATTTGTATTAAATCGAGCATTTACAAGCTTCACTACACTCACACATCTTCAATACGGAAATGTCTATAAGAGTGTTAAGACTTTGGCCTTCCGAATATATCAAGACCTCGTTTTTAATTCTTTAGTTTTTCTGGCTGTTTGTTGCTGCAGCTATCATATAAGGGTTTTTGTTTTCAGTTAAGTTATATAATATAGCTTGCTTCTTTTTCTTTACAAAATGTGCTCTGAAGTATTATTTTGAAACGTGCTGGCATTAACAGCACTTGTTTCATTTCAATGGATATTCGTGCACTTAAAGTATATTCAGTTCATTTTAAGTCGCCATCTTTCATTCAAAGCTGGCGATTTCTCCGCCCGCCCTAGTATTTTCTGCACCCTCAAACAGCCATTAATTCTAATATATATTAATTTAACATATATTTCTTTTCGGTCAACCGCTCGATGGCACCTTGCAACCAACCAGCCCCGTGTCTGCGTCTCGCTGCTGGCTTTTAGCAAACTTCGCTCTTGCCCCCTCTAAAGCAGATTTTTATTGTTTCGTCGACTTGTTGCGCAAAGCTTTTCATTTTCCGGAAAATGATTTATGTTTGCCCGTTCACACTTGCGCTCCATTCTTTTTTTATGTGTTGAAATATTTGTTGTTTTTTTTGCGTATTGGTTTTTATTTTTATTTTTTTTTTTTACATATTTTCTATGGCTGTTTAAAAAGTGTTGCCTTAATGCGCAACAAAAATGCGCTTTAATGTTGGCAATGCCTAATGTTTATACCCTGAACCCACTTAAAGTATGCAAAAAGGGTATAATAGTTGTGTGCAGGCAGAAGGAACTGTCTTTGATCCCATAACGAGCATATATTCCTGATTGGAAACGCGTTGATCGAAATCGGGAATATATTTTTTCCTAGGCAATAGAATTTAGTTCTCGATATCTTCTCCCACCGATAAATACCGATTTGAGATATGATTTTTAAAGCAATTACTCTTAGAAATATATAGTCTCCCATATTCAGAGAGAATAGATTTATTATTAATTCGATATCTTCTCCCATTCTATAAGAGCTAGATACACAAAAATGTGGTATAAATATTTTACTTAGACATTTTATTTTTCGAGATATATATATATATTAGTCTTGGACATTGACATATAAGATATGCTAGACAATAACCGTCGGAGAGATATAGTATAGAGCTAGCTGGTAATAACCACATATATGTATAAATAGACTAACTAACTTCTTTAAGAAACATTGTCGAAAACTTATACATACGTTATCAAAATTTCAAAAGGATCGGACTCTAAGTACCAAAATTAATCAAGAATGCATACCACCCTTACATTGTGTGAGATACAGGCGAAAAGTGCCGAAAAAAGTTCGAACTTTCGTAATGGAAGCTGAGTGCAGGGTATTCCATAGTCTGGCACTTGCGACCAGCGCACACGTACTTGTTTTTTCTGCCTTTGGTGTTTTTTTTGTTTTGTTTTTCTTATTTTTATAATTGTTAGCGGATTAGAGACGGAATCAGTGGGCGAGCCTTTTGTTGGCCTTCGAGTATTTCATTATCAGCAGCTGGCGTTTCTCATCCGGCCTATCATCATTACTTTCAACTTAATACTAATTTCGGTGTCATTGCTCCACTCGGCTGGGTGGATTCCTTTTGTGTCGCAGTGGTGCACAAATTGGCTGTTTTCTGCTGCTGCTGCTGGCTCCTTTTATATTTTTAGTTTTTTTTTTTTTGTCAGCCTGCTAATTTGTTAAATGGAAAATTTTTGACAGTCTTCAATGAAGTGTGACTGGCGACACTTTAGGTGGTGCGCTTCATTGAAGCGGAGTGTAGTCGCAGGGAGGGGAGGTAGGTTGGTTTGTTCGGGGGATTGGCTCCATGGATTTCCACACGAGCTGCTTGGGCCATTTAGGCAACCAATTAGCTGCCCAAATGTTGGTTAATTTCATTTTGGGGCCCCCCACTAATGACACAATCATGTAATTGAATGCCCCCACTCCAATTCTCAAGCACATTTCCAATTGGCCAGCCCAAAGTAGCTTGCCAACGGTTTTAGTGGCTGACCTGTTTACGCAGGCATCTCATGCATTTGGAAATTTGAGACTGACACAGTTGGCACAGCCAGGCACATCCTGTGACCTACAACGTTTCCTCCACGTCCCTCTGCTGCGATCTGGCGCACAATTAATGGAAGTTTAACTGTTCAATTGATGCTGGCTTTTTTTCTTTCTTGCTTAATACCTACCTCTGTCGCATTTCTTTTTTCTGGCTTTTTTTTTTCTTCTTATTTTAAATAGGAACATGCTGTTCATTGTGCGCTGCCTCCAGCCCCGGCACGGGGTCCTGTCTAGCGTTGAGCATGCTTTGCCATTAGGGCATTTTGTTCATTTTTCATTTCGCTGAATTTTCTGCGCTCGCTCAAAGTTTTTCATTTTCTTTTTATGCTGCCTGCTCGACTGCCCCTGCCTGCCTGCTTGGCTGCTTTTGCACTTATTTTACGGTCTATTGTTCGTTTTGTCGGCCACGTCCAGCGCACTCGCTTGCCTCGGCCTTCTGGCTGACCGGCCATTTGGCCAACCCATTCATATTTCGGCTCCTTTTTCGCCAAAAGTAATACAAATGGAATTAAACTTCCCTTTGCCTGCCTGCCAAATGTGGGTTACTTGCCGTACTCGCATAATTAACAAATCGCCCGCCAATTGGCCACAGTTTTGTCTTGTCTATGGTCCAATGCCACGCCCCCGCTTCGATTGAGACGCCCTTTCGACAGCTAATTCAATATGCAATGCTTGGCTGACAAGGCGATTTGCATAAATTGTCGTTGAATGCAAATTCCGCAACGCGTTGCACAACCATCAAAAAATTGTTTTCGATGCCAGTGAAAAACAAAAAAAAACAAAAACAAAATAAACAAAAAAGGAAACATTTCGCTCTGAATGCGAGTAACTCGAAAATCGCCAAGCTAAGCGTTAACAAACAAAAGTCGATAACGAAATACGAGAACTCTTCTCGATTTGTATAAAAAATGAAATTAGTGTGCAGCAGCAGCAGCAACAGCAGCAACAGTAACTGAATTCCGGCAACGATGAAGCGTCAAAGGTTTACCCTATGGGTATAGGGTTGGGCGGGGCTTGAGGGGCTTGCGGGGCTTGTGGAGCACTTTTTGTTTGGCGGACATGGGCAGCAATCAACCCTTGCTCCGGGTCTGCACTTACGGATGTTGTGCCGCATGGTCTACTTTTTCATTCTTTTTTTTTTTCTTTCATTATATTTTGTGCCTCTGTATGTGCATATATATATGTAATTTTTTTTTTTTTGGTCGCTTGACGGCGGCTTGACAAGGCTTTTATCGGATTTTCGTGCTTTGGCACTGGGCTGGTGAGAAATATTTAAAAATATGTAAAATTGGGGATTGTTAAGGGTTACGCTAGCCACACTAAATAGCCAGAATACTTAATCGCAATTGTGGCAATAGATTTGGACTTAAAGCCTATCCCAAATAGAGATGTCAGATTAGAAGGGAAAAACATAAATATGATTAATTAAAATAATTCTCTTAATAACCCAGGCAGCTTAGAAATAGGTAATTATTTAAAATAATTGAAATTTATTTTAGAA